AGTCTTTCGCAAACGCACGAAAAAAATGAGCTTCGTGGTCCTCTCCCTGCACAGATGTGCGCCACCATGGACTCCATCCTCTTGGTGACAGCAAAGCTGTTCGTGTCGCTCAAAAACAGAAGAAGGTCTGCTCGTTCGATAGGTATTGCGGAAGAATTGGTGGTGGCAAATCCAGCGCTGCTTCCCGCATTGGGTACGGGGATTTTTGCAAGTGCAGTGTAGCGTACGCGTCAATAACAACGCTTCTGCCTTCCGTAAGCGAGGGACTTAAGAATGTCTTGCGAACGCGCTACTACCAATGTGTACCGGAAACTTTGAAAGAAGCGGGGCGTATCAGTATTGTGCAGACTAAATGAGCTTGATTTCACGCATTTACGTGGCATGATTAGAGCGACTCATGAAGGGCACTCTTCACAAATCTCCGTCCAGAATCAACAGCCAACGGAAGCATGACGAGATGAACAAAGCGATACAGATATCAGATGTCGCTCAACGCAGTCAAGTTCAAGTTCGGTGATTCACGAGCTCATACTTTACGTTCTCACGAGGAACTCGATCAAAACGTTGAGACTATCATGAACTTGGAAGCAAAGAACGCAGTCCTGGATAATAAATTAAAAAAATCACCGGGGAGATCGAAAATACTCGAAGAAAGGATGAGCGATGAGTCCACGATCTTGGCCTTGTCCAAGCGCAGCCAACGAAGTAGGCTCCCACGCTGTCCTTGTTTCGCCGCCGCCATCTCAACTCTGATTTCGTTCTTGCACTCGTCAATGGCCTTCACTCGCGTGTGAATGACGCTTGAAACACATCGCGAGAGTGAAAACCTAAACTGAACGCATTACACAGTAAGCTCGTGTTGTATAAAACGCCGAGCGCCAGACTAGCCGCTAAAAGTCCGTAAAATAGCGGTTCATTGGAAGGAAGCTGTTCTTGCTGCTTCTTTTGTTCTGCATGCGCCCACACTGCCCACCAGCAGCAATAAGAGCATACGGCAAAGGCCACCCGTCAGCATCTCCTTGAAAACTGGGCATCGCCAGTGAGCTGTTCAGGATGTCATGCCATGCTTTCTCGCCGAATTGCTGGAGCTCGATAAGTTGAACGGGTCCGTAGAAAAGGCGTTAACAGGCGTGGACAAACGAAGGAGCCAATTGGAAGAGGGGATTGGATTGGATTTGGCAAGGCCGATGGCGGCATCATGGAGTTTGAGCCGTCCATCCGAAAGCTTTGGACCGGCATCTTACTTCCACCACGGTGGAGGCGCCAGCGTAGTAGGCCAGCCGCATGGCGGAGAGTATGGTCAGACGTCGATGGGAATGCTGTCGTTCTAATGTGATCCCTCGCTCTATGACGGCGTTAAAAGCGCTATGCACGTGTTCGCAGGGAGATATGCTAATCTTGTTTCAGTGAACACTTGGCTGTACTCCAAAGTTGCACATCTCGTGAAAGCTGGGTAACTAAGCGCCATCCGTCTATGCCGGTCTTCGTTTCGCAGGTGCTCGTTGCGTCCTGCGTGCTGGTCAGAACTGCGATGCAAAGTAATGGACTATGATCTTCAACATGTATTTGTAGTGCTCCACCCACACGACGAGAAGACGTCGCCGGCGTTACAGCACTGGACAGTGATCAGACGATATCCTACCCATGCGTGACAAATTTCTGTTACCGTCAAATGGAGTTTCACGCTGCGGCTGACTGGAAGATGCCCTTTATTGTACTCGGATTCTCTTTCTGTTCACCTGAAGGCATGTACCTTTGACCGAAGATCTGCTTCCAGATAATGTTTGATGGCGCCGAGATCCTTGAGTTGCACATCTTGTCGCCGATGCAAGAAACACTGCGATCGTGCTCAACCAAGATGCGGGCGATGCGTCGGGCAGAACAAGGCTTGCGAGTATCCAGCATTGTCCGAGCGTATCATCATCTATTCTGCCGCAGAAACAGCTTCCCCTGCACCACCGCTCCCACACATTGAGCGGCACGCGTTTGATAAAGCTTCACCAGACCGGACGCTTGCGCACGCGTGCCGGATGTAGGCGCTCACGTTTCGCTGTGAACGGAGCATGTCGAGATACTCAATGACTGGACCAAAAAGATCGTCCTCGGCCTCACTGTTGCCGCCGGCAAAGGTGCGGATGGCAATGTTGTTGTAGGGCTCGCTCGCCGCCTTGTCGGGAGTGTTATCGATGAGGACGGTGTTTTGCTGACTCCATGCCTGGGTTGCGACTGCACGGTGCTGCTGGATATCCGAATCCTGCCAGACACGTGAAAGACGTTTGAAGATTGGTCCCTTAGATCGATATTGTTCGGGAGTCATGCCTAGATCATCGCGGCTCCAGATTGCAACTAGCCGTCGGATCTGCTTGGGAAGGAGGAGCTGGTGACAGATCGTGTTCACTGTACCAAGGCCAGCGGAAGACCAGATCATGACTTTGTGCCTTTTCAGAAGATAGTCCAGGAATCGCGCAACCCCAGGGCGCGGTATAAGACTGGATCGACCTTTGGCTTTTTGGCGGGACAACAAGGTGCCATTGGTGTCCAAGATTACCAGCAGGCCTCGAGGCGTTCCCAAAAGTTCGGGCGCTTCGCTTGCCTTTCGAAGATAGTCCCAGGAAGGAGCTGGACGTTCCATTCCGGCCAATCGGTGATGCGGGGGCGGGCGGGAGGAGTGTGCTCGCGAGAATGATCCTCGTGCCGCTCCTCGATTGGCTCCTCTGGAAGCTCCTGGGCGACCTCTGTAGGCGCTGGTCTTCTTCTTTGTAGCTCTGTGCGCAGTGGGGAGGGGTGTGATTTCGTCAGCGATGGCAGAGTTCGATACCCGGCCAATGCCTGGGGCCGGAAGAGCCTGCACATCTGAGCCATCTTCGTCTGCGGATGGTTCGATATCATCAGCATCTGAAGTCCAGTAGTGGTCCGTAGCTGAGGGAATGTCTGCGCGTTCAGCTGGAATGCCGTGGTCTGCGGCTGCTAAAAGGGTATCGTTGTCTTCATCCAATTCATCATCGTCTGCAATTGAGAATATCTCGGCGTAAAATGTCTCGGCGTCTGAGGCTGAGGGGCGGTCGCCATCTCCAGCTAACTTCTCATCCTCTGCGATTGAGGATATTTCCGTGTTTGCAACTGGGCTGACCACAGCCAATTTCAAACTTCTCGCAGCGGAAGGGAGCGCGGGCTGGTTGGTGCCTTCCGCAGCCAAGCATGTATCGTACAGTGACATAGTTGTTATTTTGGTCGCAGGCTGCTAAGAACTCCGCCTAGATAGTGTAGCTAGGCAAGTGATATATTGCGATTGTTTTGGCTTGAGGGTTTTGCCGTTGCTTTCGCCAGACAACAATCCTCCAAACCAGATTTTCCTTCCCGTGTGGGGTAGCTGATTGGCTATCACCCCGGACCTTGGCCGAGGTTGCCCCGCCGCCTACATAGCCAGCTCCACTAGCGTCCGCTGCCACTGACCATATACTGTTGTGCCGAGTCTATCTATGCGGAATAGTGCGAGTGCCTCAGGCGTTAGCATCTAATATCGACATTCAGGGCAACGAAGGAGTTGGTTTCGATGCTGATGGCGACGGAACTAGCGGTAATTGTGGCAATGGTCTGATTCCGAAGATTCAGCTTCACACATCGTGCAAGCTTCCAGACTCCTGCAAACCAAGACAATCCAGCAAGCCGCGCTCCAGCGCTACGTCCAGTGAGCTTCGACGCCCGCTGGCTCGACCCGCTCGCAGCACGAACGCCGACAACGATGCCTCCACGAACGTTCAAAGTCAGGGTTGATCTGCAAACTACACCGCTCTCCTGGGTCGGAGGTTTCACGCATGGGCCTCCTGCACAAGAGTCGGCAACGGCCAACTCCGGCGTCTTCTACTTTTGTTCGTACTCGCATGTCTACGAGTGGCTTTCGTGTCCGCCAACGGAACTACAGTAAGCCTGGAATATCCATGAGCCAACGAGCATCTGGGTTCGATCTCTACCCTCTCGAGTGTTGGGAGACAAGTTGTACTACTTGGGAACAGGGAAAGGTATCGCGGAACGGTGCTACGGCGTTTGTCTCCGAAAGCCATGCAGCAGCGAGACACTGCATACCGAGATGCAATCGGCGGGCGTAGGAAGAGCCTGACATTCCGTTGCAATTACTTGCATATCGGACCGCATGATAGTAAATGAAGTTCAGATTGAAGAAGCGCCGCGGGACAAATGTCTTGCGATCACTTGATGCCCACGGCCATACCCACAACCTCGTCGCCATAACGCTGCATGGTAGGCCTCATGCATCACTTCAACCTCTTGAGAGGGCTGCCTGGATCTCGCAATGACTCTTTCCTGTCGGTACAGCGAAGCGCTGCAATGTTTCGACGATACATTTCTTGGACAAGCGATATGAGTCGAACGCGCAGCAATGCCGCGAGAAGATGATCGGCTTCAGGCTGGACGCTGGGGATACATAGCCAACGGGTGTGCCTGGAACATGCAATTGGCTGACGCAATTCCTCGTCACTCCAAATGCACCAATGAGCGGAAACCAATGTGGGAGTCTCCGCCGTCGGCCCCCAGAACGCTCGACCGGGTAGAACGGTGGTGTGGTTTACAAAACGGTACGATGATCACCGATGCACAACGAAACAGCATCGACATCAATAAGCATTGATTGTCGCAAGTGTCTTCCGGCCATAGCGATGTCATCCCAGCCTCGAAAGAGTCAAACGGCTCTTCATGCTCTCTCTAACATGTATCGGTACGGATGAAACGCCTCCCCGCTAAATATGCGAGGCCTCATAGCCTGGAGTAAGCATGGCACAATTTCTTGATCGTAGTCGGGGACACTTAATTGGCCAAAATTCTCACTGCTGGCGCGTATTATGTCTTTGCAAGATTCGAGAGTTGACTGGGAGTTGAGGATATCAATGCTTTATAGCTCCACTTCTGTATTTGCTCAGTGAGCGAAATCATAGACGATGAATTCTGGCGTTGCAAAACCAGTGGTTGAGAGACATCGAGCCGCGACCAGATCCCGATGCCACAAACACCGCTTGTGAGCTCGTTCGAGGGCCTTGCAAATTTGCTGCCAACTGTAGGTGCCGAACGAGGTCAAACCAAGCTCACGATGTTGTACCGCATCATACGTCACGGAAAGCTCGGCCTGGATTTTGGAGGAAATCTATCAAAACAATGAGTAGCTACCGCGAAAGAGTAGAACGCGTCTCACGTGGCCCACCAGCCGGGATGTTGGGTGTTCCGTGGATTGCAGACCTACCATGAACAAATCTAACAATTGCGAACCCCACATGATATTTTATCCTCGGGTGATTCCAAGTTGCGCTCGAGTCTCCCACAGGAAGCCTACATCGGTGATAAGCTCAGGACGCGGTGTGCGATCAGAACTGCGCCTACGAGAGGCACAGAACGGACCACTTGTTGCGCCGCTGTGGGTTATCTAGGTACGTCAGACCGTGTCATACATGTTCTGTCCTCAAATACGCCGTCAAGGACGAATTGGTTGTATTACTACATCGATCAAAGACCGATTGCCAAGTAGACCGATGGCGGTGCAGGCCAGCTCGTCCACACCGTTTTCCAACTAGGAACGCGCACAGGATGACGTGCGTAGATTCATTACCACCCTTTATCAACGTTCGCGGCCCCCTGCACGAGTAGACTTGCCATGACGAGACGGTAATGCGTACGGAGTTCCTGGAGAAGGAAGTTTACGACCTGGAATGTGCCTAAGCCGGGCAGCGACTTCGGCTTGTATCATCCATCTGTGTCTGCACGTTTGTGGGTGCAATCAAAGTTTAGACGTTGTATATTGGGGCAATGTGGACGACGCTCTGCTTACGATGTTGGTAATGAGCTTTGTGACCCGCTCCAGAGAAACATACGCTTCGCTCAAGGACAGGTTTTTAAGCATTGTCTGCTTGCTGTGCTGCGTTACGCAACACTTGCTCCCAGTCGCCGAAGTCCAGTGGATTCCATAGTCACCAAACGAGACGCGAGCAGATGACAAGCCGCCATGGTACCACTCCAAAAGGATGAGTTGAGCTGCAATATCGTCGCCGGGCAAGACCGCGAAGAGAAAATTGAATCTGCCACACTACTGATATAAGACCCGCTTGCTTGGGACGCGTTTGGGGGTGATCCAGCGAAGGGTTGGAAGATCAATGCCAGAAGAGATGATGGAGAGGGGGAGAGCATGACGAGCGAGAATGTGACCCACGAGAGCGAAACTGAAGAGCCCATGATGGGCGGACATGTGCAGACAGCCACAAAAACTTAAGGACCAGTCAACCATTGCAATTGCGGTATGATGTAATCCCCTATAGTTGCAAAATCAGCTTGTACGACATTCCTCCTGGCAACTAGACATACTGCGGCGGCATTTCATGGATATCTATTGGTTGGGACTTTAACTTGGAACTACGTCTCACGAGGTTTGATTGGCTCGCACCTCCACTCTCAAAATCACGTCGCTGCACATAATTCGGAATCGTGACTAGACACACTGAAATGGTATCTGACTCACTGTGATTGGCTGCAATTCTGCACAAGCTAAGGATCCAAGCAATTAGTAAGCCTGCGCGCATCACCGAGCCTCCGCAACACGCCCGTTCTTCCATTCATTATAACCTGAATTCGCACGATTTCTTTTGAAGCCGTATGCTGCTCAGCCTTCCGCATTTGGTGCCTCATTTCGAGGCCTTGACACGATAATATGTTCATGATCTCCATTGCGTCCGCCTCTCTCTTGATCGAAGGGATCAAACCCTTTTTAACGATCGCTTTCAACCAAGTTCTTACGCTACTTGT